GATGCAAATGATGCTTAAGATGATGATGGAGATGATGATGAAGATGTTGTTGATGATATTGATAATGATACTGATGAAATAATGATGACCATGATGATGATTATAATAATGCTGATGATGGTGATTGCGAATATGATGATGATGATAATGATGATGATGAGGATGAAGTTTATTATGATGAGTGATGATGATGATCAGGATGAGGATAATGATGACGATGTGGTGGAGGAGGAGGATGTTATTGATGATATTAATATTGTTGATGGTGAGGAGGAGGAGGATAGTGTTGATGATGATGCCGTGGATGAGGATGATGGTGATAATGGATGAGAAGGAGGAGGAAGAATAATAGGATTATGATGGCTAAGCTAATGATGAGGATGATGAGTATGCGAATGAGGTTGATGATTATGATGTGATTTGGATTATGAAGCTGATCATGATGTTACCGACAAAAAATGATGAATATGATGCTGACAAGTGATTGGATAAAAATTAGAATGATGAATATGATGTTGATGATGCTGAGGAAGATGAGGTTTTGGATAATGCTGATCAGTAGATAAGGATGAGTTTGAGTGTGATTATGACGATAATGAGGAGGATGGTGACGAGTATGATGATGACGACGTAGCTAAATATGATGAGGATGATGAAAATGATGAAGCTGATGATGATGATGATGATGATGATGATGATGTCGCCCAGGAAGGAAATACACCAATGGTTACATGGGCCACAATTTCTCGTTCAGCCTTCTACCTCATGGCCTATGCATCCGGAGAATCTGGGTGAATTACCGCTTGAATGGTTACGACCTGACGTTGCTCATGTTTTGTTGGTCACTTTGGGGAAGCACTGGATTAATAAATTTAAGGCTTGCCCGACATAGACTTCCCTGCGCAAATATTTCGTTGTCTTTTTGCGATTCAAACCTTAGTTCGTTGCCAAATACTTGAGGCACACTGCATCTGACCAACCAGCTGAGATAGAAAGTGCCGAAATTCGACAGGCTACCCTTCAGGTAGTTAAATTAGTGCAGTCAGAAGCTTCTGCGTATGAGATGCGCCTCCTTGCATGTAACGAACCCGACGTAGCAGTTCGAAAGTTAAAATCCAGGTCATGCAGATTAAGACGACTCAAGCCCTTCCTCATTAATGGGATATTTCGGGTGGGCGGAAGGTTGGATCAACTCTCTGTGCCATATGACGCGAGACATCCGATTTTACTTCCCGGCCGCCACTTTGTCACTCGCCTTCTTATACTTCACTACCACCACATCAATGGGCACTCTGGTGCGCAGCACACGTTGTACGATCTTCATCGACGCTACTGGATCGTGGGTGGGCCTTCATCCATAAGGAACTTGCTTTTCAAATGTGCCAAATGCCGCGTTAACCATGCGACGCCACTGAGTCAGCTGATGGCACCAGTTATAACAGATCAATGTCTGGCCTACCAACCAGCGTTCACTGCAGTGGGGATCGACAATTTTGGACCGCTGATAATGCAACGTGGCCGCGCACCTGAAAAGAGATAGGGTTGTTTGTGCAGTTGCTTGACTACACGGGCTGTTTACCTAGAGGTTTTCCACACCATTGATTTCGATTCGTTCTTGTTTGCTTTTTCGAGGTTTCCAGCTAGGCGCGGATGGCCGAATGTAATATACAGCAATAATGGGCAGAATTTCCACGGAGCTAAAACAGAGTTACGCAATCTTCTGAAGCAGCTGGATCAGACGAAGATCACAAAGTCTATATTGGCTAGAGAGGTTGACTGGAAGTTCAATCCTCCATGTGCTAGCCATCGCGAAGGTCGTTGGGAACGATTAATTCGATCGAATCATGAATTATTACGTAACATTCTCAACGACGAGCTTGTGGCCGAAGAGGTACTTGTAACGTCACTCACTGAGATCGAAAGGATATTGAATGACAGGCCTTTGGTAGCGGTACCTGTCTCCCCGGACTCGCAAGATGCTATATCGCCTCGGAAACTACTAACGCTTTCAAATGATCAGTCGCTTGAATACCCACCGATCAATTTACCAATAAAAATGAGCAGAAGGTGGAGACAGGTAAGACATCTGTCCGATAGGTTTTGGCGTAGGTGGATTGCAGTATATCTACCGACGCTGCAGAATAGACAGAAGTGGTTAACTGAACTCCAAGCTCTTAGGCAGGGCGATTTAGTTTTAGTTTGTGATTTACGCACATCAATAGGTCTGTGGTCTAAGGGTGTTGTGGAGGAAGTTATCAAGAGCAAAGACCAACTAGTTCGACAAGCACTGGTGAACACAAGCAAAGGTGTATTGAGAAGTGATGTCAGACAGCTGTGCATACTAGAAGCTTACCAGGAAGAAGAGAATGATGCCGTGGAAGTCACCGTCCGGAATAGGAAACCGCCGGGGGAGTGTGAAGTCCAAAAGGAACTTTGATGTATCCCCAACCTGGATTGCTTACATGAGGGAACAGTATCTCTTTTCCCTAATTATCTTGCT